TTTTACCAAAACCTAATCAAATCTGGGCATTGGCCCAGAGCATCTATGCATCAAGTTTCATCAAAAACCGATGTATGGTTCTTGAGATAGCAGTGGAACAGTCAGACACACATACACACAGACACACTAACTGCAAAGACTCCCATTATGTGCTTCGCACATGGGAGTCAAAAACAAACAAAAAAACAAATAAATGAATAAATAAATAACAAGTTCTCCATAAAACACATGATGATCTTAGAAATGAATGAATACATAAATATACAAAATATAAATATACATTTTCAGCAATTCATCATGTGTTACATCATTTTAGTTTCAAAGAACATTGTGTTGTTGAATAAATGTGTTTTCAAATGATTTAAAGCTCTGGGAATAAGACCAATTGTTTAATGAAATACATACTTACATTAATACAACAATAGCAACATGGTAATGTTATTATCCATATATCATATTCCAAACAGCTTTATAACACACTTGATCCATGTCATCCTTCACTCTGCTAAAACACTCCTCGGCAAGTTGTCTTTGATGAGTATTTCCTGATAGAGTCAGTTCTCCATATAAATATACACCCATTGACTGCACAATGAAATATTAGTACAAATTAGAACAAAAAATATATTAATATTAAATTCTTTTCCATTTATTTATAGCAAAAATGGCTCTATCATAATTTCATTGGATTATGTTGTTTTTAAAAGTAAATGTCTTTGATTTCCATTTTGATTTCAATTGTTATGGCAACATGTTTTTTCATTGTTACAATATGGCCAGTGACTACTAAATTTGAGTACTATTATTTATTATTTATGTACAAAATATCTTATTTGTAATTCGAGTGACATATGGCTGTGTCACTAATAAATAATGTCAAGACTATAATGTACATGTGTACAGATCAATTTTAAAACAAGGATGGTCGTCACCTGCGCACGTGCTAGAATTGAGTCCCAAGCAATGATAACAACACATGCTAAAAAACGCAAAGGCTCATGGGTAGACTCTTGTTTGTAAACAATGACACGCTATGGCCATCTGACGCATACGCAGGTGACGACTCCCCCGCTTGAATCCACAAACAAGCAGTCTCTCAGCTGGGATAGCTCTGCTGTTAGAAATGCACATTTCAATTAAAGAATTGAAGATATCATAAAATGAACAATCTAGGAGTGGTCTACCCAAGGTACATATACACTAAGTATCAAAGCTATCAGGCTTGTAGTTTTCAAGAAGAAGTTGAAAGAGTAAAATTTGATGTAGACGATGGATAACGGACAACGACAGACAATCACTTATAACAGTTTTAAATTGTACATATACATGTATGTGACAGAACATTAGAAAAACAACTGGTGGGGAGATTTATATCATGGTGATATATAGTTTGTGTGGTGGTGGTGAAATATTAATGACGATCATTTGTCTCAACATAGAAGGTAAATAAAAGTTATGATACAGGACAAAATGTAATCATAGATCATCAAATACAATATATCCAATGGTGTTGAAGTTGCCTAAGCAATGAGGAAATTAGTAACTGGTGATTGGTTGAAATAAAGTCATAAGCATGAATTTAAATTATTATCCAATGACAGGTCATACATAATGTTACATCATACTGATGACGATAATTAAAATATTATCTGTTGAATGGCTAAAATGTATGACATCAGCATGAATTTAAATTATTATCCAATGACAGGTCATACATGATGTTACATCATACTGACGACGATATTCAAAATATTACCTGACTAAAATGCATTACATTAGCATGAATTCATGTTATTATCCAATGACAGGTCACACATAAGTGTGATGACATTATATTGATGATGGTATTCAAATTATTACCTGGTGGTTGATTAAAAAAGATTTGATATCATCATACTTCTGCAGAAATTGAAATTTGACAATCAGTTCACACCAACGATGCTGTATTTCTGCATTCTGGTGACAAAAACCATAAATGGCATCTAGTTCTTTTAAAGTGTGTGTTGATATAACATTCAATTCTAATAGTGTGTCAAGGAACAGAACAAGTTGAGCAGGAGATAACTGAAATCAAGTAAAGATGATATCATTTTGATCTGATTTCTGCACAAATGTTTTGAGAATAATTGAGCAAGTGCAATCTAAACTTGATGGAAGATGAAAGTGATTATACATTCTTCAATTCGTGAATAAACTCAATACAGACACACATGCTCACTTTAATCTAAAAAAAAATAATGGAAAATACTTTTACAAAGAAGAAAAACCTCAATATATACTGAATCAATAAAAGAATGTTATTCACACCTGTGTTGTCTTCAAATGTCCCACTTTTGCCCTTTTACGCTTTCTTTTTCTTCTCAAAGCTTTGTCTCTGCATTTCCATTTTTCAACCTAAATTATATAGAATTGTATGCACACATACAGAGCATTTACAGTTATGTAGAATAAACAAATTTTATGATAATTCAATACAAAATAAAATATAGTAAAGTACCTTAAAATACTTAAATTTATCTACTTATATATATTATTTTCACTTATTCTGAGGTATTCTAATGAGCATCCTTTTCTTCATCACTATTGTGTGTGTGTTTTTTTTAGGATTATATATCATTTGTCTTTATTTTAAACTAAATTTAAATAAAGTTATTTATTGATTCTGGGGAGAGATACACCTACCGGTACATCATATATATATATCGGTATAAAAAAAGAGTGGTATGTAACTTTGTTAAAGGTCCCATTTTATACATTTTCTCCTGTGACTGTCACATTGTACTTGGTTGCTATATTACTAAGAGAGCATCAGTGTCTTGCTGTGATGGTACCTACTATGTACTGTCAACCAATAGAGTGATTAACAGTGGAAACCCCACTTGGCTCAACAAATTTAATGCATTTAGTATCATTGCTATGTTTTTATGTCTATTGCAACCTTTTTTTCGTACCACATTAGTGAGAATGAATGCATATGCAAGAATATTTTTCCACTGCTTTGTTGACCCAACCAATTGACTGTTTAATTGTCCAAGTTATTCTTGCTATTCCAAGTACAATTCGCCTTCTGTGTCATCTAAAACTTTGTTACTTATATATATATATATCCTTTAATGCTAGTTTGAATTTGGTTGTCTTGAAACCATATTTAAATTGATACAAATTAATGCAGTGAGCATATGTGACTATGTGACAGCATCCTTGTACGGTTATTGCAATGATTGTTGTAGTGTTGTAATTTTATATGCATTGTATACATCGTTATGGGTTTCACATCAAACAAAGTATGACAACTGTTGCTCTTTAACTAATATAGTAATCACTTAAATTAATATAATTAATCTTTGAAATGTAACATATCCATTTTATTTTTAGATGTTTTTTTGTTATTAAATTAGATCAGGTACAATGCATGTTAGATGACTTTTATATTTAGTTACTTCTCCTTTGCCAGTCGGCCGGAAGAGGTATATTAATAATTTAAAATAATGGATATTTTATATTCCTTTCCATCAAATCAACTTCTAACACAGATATATATAGATGATGTAATTAATTACAAGATTATGTCAGCTTGTTCTGACTAAAATACCTCAGTGTACACTTCATTAATGAGTGGATTGTCCTGTTTCCATGGTAACTGATTCTGTAGAATGAAAGGCATCCCAGGAAAATCTAACCAATCTTTGTATATAGCATCTATAGTGAAACCTTCATCGCTGAAATAGAAAATGAAAACAAATTAATAATAATAGATTTCTTTTGTACTTTTACAACGATAAACACTGTAATACTTTTTGTTTCTGAAAGAACACTTTTACATTTATTTATCCAATATCAAATATACATACTGTAAAAAAGGACATATGTTGAATAATGTGTCAAAGAACTTCTTCGAGGGTACCAGGTTGCCATGGAAATTTTTGATGTATGTTTGTAGCACTTGAAAGAATATCTCTTCTCCAACCAATTTTGACAGGTATCTTAAAAGAAAGTATCCCTGAAAACATCAAGCAGAAACAAAAATATTTTAGTTAAAAAAAACAATAATTACAAATTTTAATACATCTTGCAGATTCGAAATACTATATTGTCAATCACTAAATTTTACTACGCCCTAACTCCATCCTCTTATTTACTAGTAAATGTTATGCAAATTAGTATGTAAAATGTTACCGCCACAGTGTTTTAAATCTGAGAACACTGTATACTTACTTTTATATGGTGTATTTGCGTCAACCATTTCTCAGGATTTAACCCATCTTGTATGCAGTCAATATGTTCGTCGTCATCTATGTGTTTACTTGGTTTTAAAGTTTGAAGGTTGTCATCTGTATTTGCTAGATCTGACTTCAGTATGTTGTACCTCAGTCGGGCATGAAGATCTAATTGCTGGCTTTTCTCATCCACAGACCACTGAGTAAATTGAAAAACAAGATGATTTTAAAATTCTACCACAACCACTTACTTTTTTCGGGGTAGGTTTATTAAGAAATTCTCATTGATAGTGAATTTGTACCCCCCATATCATATCTTAGGCTTATAATAATAATAATAATAATAATAATAATAATGAATTTATTGCATTCTTAGAAATAATTTCCATTGGTTGACAGCAATAAAATGTTAGTAATAAAGTACAATACATATAAAACTAAAGTAAAAGTAAAACGTCAGTTATTGTTATTTCTGATTTCAAATATTTTGTATAAGTATTCACCAAATTGTCTTATTAGTACATTTCCTCTTGAACTCATAATATATTTAAATATCTGGTCATCACATCACTATTGAATTATAAATAAGGCCTACTGCCTATGCCAATATGATATAGGTAAGTTACTGACCTGCCTGGCTAATGCCTGGATATGGTCTTCCATATACGTAGCAAATCCTTCACTCTGCCATTCCTCATTCCAGTCAGCAGCACCAATTGAAAAACCAAACCAGGAATGGGTAATCTCGTGAGCCAATCTACAACACATACTGCCATCCCCGCATAATAACGACTCAGACAGGAATGAAACACTGGGACTGTAAGAAAAATTATCATTATTTGCAATGATAGTTTATTGATCATATTTATCAGTGTGTCAAATCATATGAGAAAAATGATTCTATGGGATGTATGCACAGCCAATGAGGTAGTATAGCAGTTTGGCCTAAACAAACAAAAAATATCCTAGTTTCTGGTCAGCGTGCACACCACCAAAAAACATGTAAGCCAATTTTTTTTGTATTTATTTTTCCATTTCACAGTGCACTAAGTTGTCAAATATTGTAGGGTATGATTTTACTAAACATATATTGAATATTGAACATCAGGGAAAAAAACATCACAATTGTGTGAATTTTAAAGCTAAAATGGTAAAGGATTTATAAAAGCATAACTAAAACATGGAATTAATTTTCCCTGATGTACTGTAAAATATTCTATTTTTTGTATGGAATTTATTTTCACTGATTATTGACGAGTTGAATGTGAAATATAGGAAAAAAGGTATATTCACTAGATTTTATTTTCACTAAATCATTCTTTCAGCAAAAAATTTCAAAAACTAATTCCATGCAAAAAATAAAATATTTTACAGTACATCAGAAGTTTTGGTTTACCAAAGGTTCATCTAAATTGAATGTTTAGGTCACACACATTTAATTTACGCTACTTTCCAGTTCATATAGTTTTAATAGTAAACCGGTTTTATTGTAAATATATTTTGTATGGACATAAATATGAAAGATGACAGGGTTGACCTGTGACCTTCTCCAACTTACCTTGCAAATCCTAAACTGGCAAAACATGTCGGCATGATAACTAAATCCAAGCGTTCAAATGGATGTGCACCCATAAGATGGAATGCTGCCAGCAAATATCTGGGAATAACACCCTGAAATTCACGAATGGCAGCCGGAAGGAGACTGGGTGGACAGTAAATCTTACAAGGAATTATGGGCTGGTAGGTGCAGTTGATCCGACATGGGAAGACGGCATGTTGACATGATGTCACAGGTGAATGAGAATCACTGAAAACAAAAACATTGACCTTTACACCACCAGTTTTCTCTTTCCATCACAAATTCACAAAATAATCCCGTTTATAGTCTGCACTTTTCTTCAGTAAAAACTGAAAATTGACTCACAAAAATTCAGGTAAGAAGGTCTGGTGACGAAAAGGTTTACGTCAGTGCCAAAAAATATTTTTAAACAGTGTAATATGTGATGCTAATTATCATTGGTGCGTCAAAAAATGGAGTATCAGAAATCTACTGATATATATGTGTTACTTGATATCCAATGAAGCAATCATGTCTTATAAATCTCTCAGCTGTGATATTTGTGTTTCTAAGTCATAATGTACATCACTTGAATAAGTATGCATTGCAAGTTTTTTGGCATAATTTTACGAAAGATTAAAGAAGAATTTTTGTAAAGAATAAAAAAAAAAAACTTCTTCTTATTTTGTTCTTTTGAACAATAATCAATTACAACAACCCTATTCTTTCTAGTGTATTTCTTTCAACAATTTGAAAAATGTTACCAGGTTGCAAGGTGGCGCATATCCAATGGCATCTCTGTGGATATGTGTATAGACTTCCATTGCCCTATTGCTAACACCAATGTTGCACAGTGAAAATGGAACTTCCAAAACATAATAAAAACACTGCAAACCTGAAATAAAAATAAAAAAAAATTGAAAAAAATTGATTCACAGAGCAGACCATGCAACTACCCTGATCATACGTAACAAAAATGAAGCTCTATCTTACCATTTGTATCCATGGAAACAAGAGGATCATGGTCCCCACTCATCAGCACAGTATACTGCGTCTGTACATGTACAAATGCTTGCCATGTCGATAAGGAACCAGCCGTCTCTTGTGAGGGACACAGTGATCTGTTATTCTCACTTGAACCTTGTGAAAACACACACAAACTGAGAGATAGGAAATGTACATATTACATGACATCAGAAAACACAGCATGAACCAATGAGTTATAGCATAAGAATACTGTAGAATACTTTATTTTCGCTTGGAATTTATTTTCGCTATTTTCGCTATGTTTTCGTGAAAATAAAATCCAGCCAATATACATTTTTTCCTATATTTCACATTAAACTCATCAAAAATCAGTGAAAATATTTCTACACAAAATGCTCAAAAAGCTTTTTCAGCGAAAATTAATTCCAGTGAAAATAAAGTATTCCACAGTATGCAATGAAGATCTCACAAGAATTCAAGCTGACTCACAAAATCACATAACAATATAATTCCAGCAGTACTAATGAGTGAAAGTACTGGTTGACGTTCGTCTTGACCAGTTTTCCTAAATTTCCTAAGATTTTTCTCACATATTACTGTACATAAAATTTCTCTGGCCTAGAGGGATAACAGTACACATAATTATCAGTTCGCTTACTTTCCATCCTGGTCATGTGACCATGTGACAGAGGAACCTCTTGTAGTAGTGCGGTATTTCACTCTTATAAGCCTTGGAAAATCCCTCGCATTATGAACACCGTCTTTCCAGATTCGAATACACCATTCCTGTGATACAAACTTGACTCTCTGTCCAGTCAGTTTTATACATTGAAGATAAGTGCTATTTCTCCCTTCAAAGTCTCCACTTGTGACCCTGAGTAGCTTCTCTATAGAGGTTGGCAGTTTTCCGTAATCTACATTTTCATCTGCATTGCCTGAATTTCCGTTTATTATCCATGACGGTAAAAATACTTCTTCTACATCTTCAACATCGAGGTGATGGCAATCAAGTACAAGTTCAAAATGCTCTTTGTTATCTTGAAACTTTTCTTCACAATTAATTAGCTTGCTACTTACTGATGCTGCTGATATTTGGCCACACATGTTTACGCTTTCTTGGTCTCCAACCACATTGCTATTTCCTTCATGTCCTATTTCACTGCAACCATGCCGACGTTGCAAAAAATCCTGAATCCTGCATCCATCGCTATGGCAATAATCAGCATCTCTTTCAACATACTTTTGACTGATCGTTTTGGTCGAGGACGAGTGATCAGTATTGTCATTGAAAACAGCTGGTTCAAGGAAAAACAAAATTGTGGCTTGGAAAACTCTTTGATTGAAATCAGGAATTAGATCCAAAATGTAATGATGAACTTTGATCTGGTCAGAGTTAGACAGTATAGGTATATCAGTCTCCATTTGTATTCAGCAAAACATCACACAGTATGACTGCTCACTACTCCACAAAAAGGTCTTCATTATATACTTTCTGCAATAAATAAAATATTAATCATTAATTAATATTGCATTCATAAAATATTGTATGAAAAGCATAATTTCACTGATTTTACTTATTTTAAATGGTCTAATAATAAACCAATAAGCATCTTCCCCTGGGGTGTGTGGGGAGGGGGTATGTGTGAGGAAGGTTGGGGTAGTTGGGCGCAACATGGGATTTTGGTCCTAAAACATTACCTCCGCAGCTGGGTTCTTCTTGATAGTCTTGATATTCTGGTGGTGGAATACAAAAATTGATTAAATGCCACAATTACAAGCCCAATCAGATGTTAAACATAATGTTTCACTGTATGAAGTGAATGTCTGAAGAGAGGGATGTAATCAATTGGTTACAAATCTTTATCACTAAGAATATCATATTTGTATTGCTGTTCTATGAACATTTAAATTATGTTAGAATAGGTTGTTCCCGAAGTAATCTTCTACCGTACTTATCCGGGTAAGAGCCCATGCCTGGACAAACGCCCACCCCCCACTTTTGACACAATAAAGAAGTTGAGGTCATATCCGGGCACACGCCCAGGGGGTCTTTTTCTACACAAAATTAAAAAACAAAAAAAAACTATTTTCTATTCGTTGACTGTGGTTGTATTAACAGTTGACTTTCTTGAAGTCTGTCGTGATACTTATAAAATTGTTAATTGCGTAAAACAAGGGGTGAACGCAAAATAGCTGTGACAGCTTTCTGTTTTCATGGCAGCGCGTTCACCGCTGATTTTGTTCAGAATCATAACAGTCAGCAAGTCTATAAAAATAAATATTAAAGCTTCCTTACAAACGATTCAACGAATGGTTGAAATCACGTTATTTTGGCTTTATAAATATTTTGTAGCAGCTTGCGAATCCATAACTGGGGCCAGCAATTTTGCAATGTCACGCCGAAGATTGCCAACTTTTTTACCATCTTTTATCACCGCTATTGCATTTCTGTCATGAAAACTATTCTTCTGTCGTTGGATAAAAAAAACATTAAAACCGCCGGAACTTGCTGAATGATAACTTTCACCGTGATTAATAAGCGTCGAGTCTGATAAGAAAGCAATGTCACGATTTGACCTTTATGATGAAATACTGGTAGTGATGTCATTCTTAGCCAATCAGTAAAGCAGATGCATAAAGGTCAAAGATGATTGCTAGACTGTAAACAAAAGCATTGCGTGCCATCGCAGCAGAGCGACCCCATTTTTCTTGTCTCTTTATTATGATTAGACATGAATGAAAAGTGCCAAGCTGATAGACTGCGAAATCCGTGGATTAAAAGTGCTAAGTCCAAATTGTGTGGGACGATATCGACGAACTTCAGGAATAAGTTGTAGGGATTTTGTTTGACAGCTACAGTGACGCCGACTTGGACTTTTGAGGGTTTTGAGTTTGACGAAGATGACAATGAACGCACAAATAAAGATCTGAGAAGTTTTTTCAAACAGCTATGAATTAATTTTTACTGTGTAAATTTGTAAATTATTATTGATCTTGTATGACGGTTTATTGTAATTTGTCGAGACCGGAAATCATTTTACGCAGTTTAACCATTGACATTTTAATTCATTTTGAGTTCACGCGTATTGGGTGTGTTTGTCGGCGGGAAAATCCTAATTCAAATGATTTCTCACTGTCGATTTTTATTATTTCTGGTTTATTTGCCACATTATAAGCAATACATTATTTTTGTTTTACTTCTAGTGTTGCATATTGTTCATTTATTTCCGTTGCATGTTTTCATTTGCCGTTCTATTCCCTGTCGCAGTTCGATCTGCGTGTTGTCAATTTTCGCGAATTTTCGTTTTTTTTTTTTTTTTTGCCGGGGATCTCCTGGCAAACGCCCACCCCTTCTTTTTGGCAATTTTCCATGTTCAGGACCCTGGGCTTATAATCAGATAAATACGGTAGTATGTAAGGAGTACTAAATACTTTATATGTATGACCATATAATTTGATATATTACCCCGGTAATTGCGAATTCACTGACATAAATTATAAAACTCTCAACTCCCAGTACATATACTCACACAAACGTATAGTATGTAATATTTATTATAGTATACTGGAAAACACACAGAATATAAGGACACATATTATAACAATAAGGACAAATTAACATCTCCTCAGGATGGTATTTGCAGATTAACACCAGTTGTTAATGACACAATAGACAATTAATTCTCAACTCTGATAAAATGACCAATTACTGCGACAAAGCCACACTCACTGCAAAAGCAACTGACCGCGAAAGCCACTCATCGTGAAGATACTAGTATGTAATATTTATTATATTAATTTGGAAAACATGCAGAATATTTGTTTTCTTGTTCTGATACATTTATTGCTTATACCTTTAGAATCTAGAATCTGAGTTCAGATACAAAGCCTACTCATAATTTTCAAGATAGTTGGCCGTAAATCGCATGACAAAATTCATTGGTTTATTATGTAGAATCATGCAGCTATCGTTCCTGGCACCATCAAATACGTTCTTTTGTGTGTTTACAATGATGTATTTGAGAAACTAATATTTTTTCACAAATTCTAAGAACACAATGTTAAAGAACACTTTTGACACTTTTTAAAACCCAGATATTTGAAATAACCAAAAACAACAAAAATACCCCATCAGTAACAATATATATTTTTTCAGCCTATGTCGATCACCAGCCTACAATTTGAGATGAGCCAATATCTCTGCCATAACGGTATGGTAAAGGCGTTAAAATACTGACAAAATGCACTAAAATATAACCATAATTTTCTTGAAAATTAGGCTGGTGACCCCCGACATTTTAAAGGCAATGTTCTTATACTGCCCGAGAGTAACATGTATTGCAAAATGAAAAAAATTCAGAGTGGGCTTCTCAAAATAAATCAAAAACATACAGCAATTTGCACTATTTTCATCCGAAATAGAATCGGAATCATTCTCTCAGTTAGTGTCTATAGCAGTGTTTTATTTCTAAATTTTCAAACAATGTCCGATCGATTGACATTCATGTTTTGTTTTGTTTTTCACCCGAACGAGAGCAATCTCTGGACACTTAGCCTTGCGTACACACAGCACTGTACGCAGGGCTAGGCTACTCATGGGCTACTGGACACTAAGATACAAGTGCCTCGCTGACATTTCCGAGTCTGGTTAGTCAGCTTCAAGGTTGGAAAGTACTGTAAATTGCTTGTTTGATTGTCTTCAACGTATACTTGATATAGCATACTGTAGATACTAAAACATGGTCTATGGATATAGTAAAACCACAATTGATAAACGAGCACTTACTTCCGGGTTTTCCCGTCGGCAACCGCCATTTTGAAGTTAATACCACAGTATTTAACCACTCGAGGGCGCTTCGCCAAATCATCAAATTTACCGGGGGGGGGCCTTCAAATTTTGTATTTTTGTCACTTGAGTACAGTTATATATTAGATAGTTTTGTGCCGCTTTTGTGACTGCCTATATAAAAGTGCATCTAAACAGGCGACGTATTATTACAGTCTCTTTATCACGAAACTATGTGCTATACCAACGTTTTGATGAACGAGCTGCAGGCAAACGGAGGTGAATTGTGCAATATTGCCTCTATATTATTATTATACCACGGCAACGTTGGTATACTATATGTCATATTGTTCCATTTGACACCATTTTAGTTAGTTCAACCACGGTCACTCATCATAATCATATAATAAGCAATGTAGTGGGTGGTCACAGCTGTAAAGTCCTGTTCCTGCATTTGCGGACACTTTGAATTCAAATGAATGCTAATGTTCGGTATTCACAAAGTTTCATAAAAATATCTGTAAACTAAAGTATATGTACTGCACTCCAAACACTACAAACTCACTGTATTCTACCGTAATCATTGTATACGAACTTTTAGCAAAATTGTATACGACCACGACGGGACTCGAACCCGCAATCTTCTGATTCGAAGTCAGACGCCTTATCCATTAGGCCACGCAGTCAGCCTGACAATGACGTAATTTCTAATTCAGTGAACTAGTTCACAGTTCAAGTTCAATGAGACATTTATTTCAGACAACAAGAATCTCAAGTGTTTATTTTATATTGAGAGCGATGTTCATCGCGGCATATTCTGTTCGATATTATTCTTTATCCTCGGGGGCGGAGCTACGTCCCGGACGTTCTACGTTGCTAAGACGCGCACCACTGTACCACGTATTTCTACGGGCTTTGTGCGCGCTACTGTGGAACGCCGGTGGAGCCGGTGAAAACTCGAGAAAACAACACAAACTCAACTTTGAAGTAATCCTGAACAACCAAATTTATATATGTTACACACGCAGGGCTAATCTTGTTACACTGTTCAGGGGAGTCTCAACAAACATTCCAAAGTACCGTTTTCTGCGAGTTTTTGGTCTTTGTTTTCACCGCGAGGGTTGCCAGGATGAAATTGCCCGGATGTCCGCCCCCGAGGAGACTGTAATAGCAAAAGCCGTATCCAGTCCATAAAAGTGTTATCATATACATTATATGAAAAAAAGTCTTTCGCTATGTTATTATGGGTAATTCAACCACGCGCTGCGCGGTGACCATCGCGCCTATAAACAACTTGTCAGAAACGATGATTCACACAGGTTTCTTGTCTTGTTCTTCAGTGTTTCTTCCTCGTACACAAGTCTGTAAATGGGCCCCTAGACTATATAAAGTAAATTTTTCAAATGAACTAAAATCTTATCATAAAGCAAGAGAATTTGGTTGTATTTAATGGGTGATAGTCCGTGTTTTGAGCAACAGAGTCTATAAAGGGGTTTGATATTTTTTCAGTCTGCAATCTTTGGCGCCAGAGGTAACATATTTCTTCATGGTCTCCCTGCTTTAATACAAATTTTGAAAATGTAATTTCACTAATTACATGTTTCTCTGATGGCTGATCCAAAGGTCGTACCGGCAG